CTAATATTGATTGAAATGTGTTGCTGCACAGGTCACCTTTAGCTCTCTGAAGAGGTGGGTGATGTCATTTGTGTACTTAATTATAATTAAGTACTTACAGCATGCAGAATTCTGAGTATTCTCTGAATCGGGTGCCTTTTGGGTCTTTATATCTTTGAAAAATGAAACCAAAATGTTTGGTCATAACATCTGGTAGTGGACTACTTACATTTTCCCACCTCAGGCACAAAATATAAATAATTACTAGGAATTTCCTTGAAAAAATGTAACAGGGTTGAAGTTTTTGACAAAAAGTAGGCATGAGACCTTGTTTAGCTAAGATATGGCACCACATGGAAGTCAAGGACATTACAAAATTGTAATATTTTGCAAAACTATTGTTTATTTTTGTAATAAACAATTATTTACTATTATTAATTCATACAACATAGTTGAAATGTTGAGTTTGTCAATCTTAATCTGAAATATAGGTAAGAGAAGAAACTGACACTTTTGTGATGTAATTCCCTCAATGCAGATCACACATGGACTGATCCATTATTTTAATAGGAGGGTAAATGGTATGGCGTGACGGGGTTGAAACAAACTGAGGGACAATATTGCAATTTCATAGATAATTCAAGTATTTTTTCAGAATTGATTTTTGATCAGTTAAAGTTGACAAGCATGTGATTATATTAGCAGCAACATTTTGGGATAATTGGTCATTTTGATTTGTTTAGACAACCAATTTAAAAAAAATATATATATATATATTTAATTTTACATTGTAATGCAAAACAACCTGTTCCATTAATTCATTGCTTTAAAATACATTTAGTAGTTTCCTTTCATTTAAAATGGTTGAGGAAAGCTTGGGGGACTCAAAGGGCACCCGATTGTTTGTCTGAACACCTTGTTTCTCTTGTGCATTAAGAACACTTGTGTTAGGGCATGAATTAACAATAAATAGGTTATATACAGTATAACATACCACGTACTGTCCGCCCTCCTATGCCACCCTGGCATGACCTCTTGCCTCCCCTTTGCCCCCGCATGTAAAATGTTCTAGAACCGCCACTGACCCTGTATCAAGATTGATGCAAAATAAGTGATATTTGACATGTTTAGACAGATTTAGCAAATAAACCTCTTCTGGGGCCATTTGGGTGGATTTTCCTTATCTCTGGCCCCCCTTGTTCGATGTTGACATGTGACATTTCTTTCTGACCGTTAGAGCCAATAGAATCGAAGGGGAATCTCCCCACAGACACACACACACACACACGTTTTTAAAAAAATGGTGTCTTCGCTCACAGTTTTGCTCCAGAGCGAAGCTGTCTCTAGGTCTGACATCTCAAAACCGAAAAGCTGATTTATTTCTCATGGATTATCAGAAATCATTCAAAGTGACACAGACACATTGGATTAACCTATGGATTAACTTCAGCATCGTTTATATCGTTTTTCACTTTTGACCAGACTACCACACAGGTGAGCCATTTTGCCGTTTTTGGCTAACTAGCTCCATATATTTTGATGTGTGTTCTTGTTATTATCTCCGAGAGTTCGTATCATTGAGTGATAATGAGGCTACCCATCAATTCTGTGTCTCCTCACGATGGGTTGAGATGTGCAGCAAAGATAAATAATAAGGTTTTGTGAGTGAATTTCGGTGCAGTCATCTGTTAGCATTCTTCGCTCGTTGCTAATTCAGAGGCTCAGTGTTAGCATTGTGGGGTTTTTTTTGAGAATTTTTTTTTAAATGATCAGTTAGATGAGTTTCTTTCCGTTACATGAATATAAAACATTCATAGTTTATTAAATGAACATGCCCTCAGACACTGTTTCCTGCAAGATGTTGCAGAAGGCCCCCGGAACCGGGGTCTCTCGGGTTTAACACTTCTTAAAGACAAACAGAGACGCCTGCAAGCTAATCCAGTTCCTGTTGACCCGGACTCTGCGTTTACAGTTCATGTGACATTTTCCCTGGAATGTTTTTTAGGACGTGTTGACTGAAAGCGTCAAGTGTTTCCAGGAAACCACACACACAGCGAGTTAAACACAGCAAGACGCCGAAGGCTTGGTTATCTTACAAATTACACTGGAGATTGAAGCGTGGTAAACTCCGTGTGTTGGCACAGAGAGAAGCGAGGTCTATTGTGGTGGCAGGGGGCCGAATGATAAGATTGTTATCTAATAACTACTTTAATGCCGAACATGTTCAAGTCAACTTTTTATCTTATTCATCTTTTGCCGTTTAATGTTTAATAGTATTTACCAGTCTTTCGTTTTGGAGCATTAAAGCTGCATCTAATCTTGATCTCATCTTTTAGGTGCAGCAGAACAAGCTAAAGAAACACAAAATTGACCTTAATAACTTTAACATGTGAGCTCAGTTTCCAAGTTAGACATCCAGCAGAGGAAGGGCAACATGTAGTGCATTTTCAGTCAACACACACAGTCTAAAGTCAACATTATTGTTGTATATATTGGACTATGGACTACGACATGCGTCCTCAGGTAAATATGATGATTAACCTGCAAGTGAAGCCAGCGCAAAGTGCTTTGAAGCTGCATTTTCTTTCAAATGCCCAGCTGGTCCTACTTCTGAACTGATTTATGAACTTTATTAAACATTTTCATTAAGAGTTTTTTGTCTTGATAGCCATTTTCAAGTCTTCTTCGTTACCTCATATTGTTTACAATGTTGTTGTTAATCTGTTAACCCCACACTGAGACAGACATGTTTTGTGATATTGGACTATATATAGATTACCCTTGATTTGGTCATGGTGTCCGTTCAGTGAATTATGTCGCCATTTGGAGTAAATCACACAATAGAGCAGTGAATGCATCAGACCGTGGCTACCTTGTGATTGAGAGGTTGCTACCTCGTGGTTTTCTGGTTTGGGTGACCTCCATGTCTTTGTCTTAAAGCTTCAATAGTGTTTTCGGTTCATGCATCTCACTTGTACCACTGTTGGAGCAGAAACGAGACTGTTAAATGTGAGTTTTCTAGAGTTAACTGTATTGACTGTTTTTCGAGAACATTTTCAAGTTACTTTTGACTTTACAGAGAAAGATGGTCATTTTCCCCATCACTTTTTCAATCACTCCAGGATCTGCTGTTGGCAATGATTCTAAAAATGTAAACGTTATTAGCGCTCAAGAAAAAAGGATGCACAAACTTCCATTGTCACACAACCAGTAAAATATCCACAAAGTAAGAGCACAACAGTGCTGACACAATACAGTATTATTGTTCAGGTCAATTTCCACCATAATAACTGATGTGGTAATTAAAAGCCAGGAAGTACTTAGATATATACATAACTACAAAATGTGCTTTTGTGGCAAAGTGAAAAAGAAAGAACATGCAGTCAGGTCTAAAAAAAGTATTTCAAACTATAAAAAAGTATGTGTCATGTCTGCGGGATATTATAAGGGATTTTCCTAATTCAAATGCTGAGAAAAAACGTTGAGAGAAGGCTTTTTTTAATACTTTGCTCAGCAAAAAGCACAATGAAAATGCTAGTCCGCCCACATTTAAACACCAGAGCTTAACAGATGCTTCAAATCCTGTGCTTTGTTCGGCCCAAAAACCAGAGAAATGATCCCGGTATATGAGGTAGAGAAGACGAACGACAGATAGAAAAGACATCACTATATCCTGCTTTTGTGCAGCTAACCACTGACTACCATTCATAATAATGATGACCTTGGCTATGAGGTACTTTAATCAACTCTGACACTAACTTTACGGTAAAAAAATTAAAAGTGCTAATTGAAAGACGTTGATGTGAGTGTGAGGAGCAGCTTTGTGTGTTGCAGCTCTGTGCGGAGGGTGTGTTTTGCTTGTTTGTTCGTGTGTTTACCATTTGCTCTGGAATGTCCTCAGAGCTGTTGTTTAGAAAACATCAAAGACTCGGTGCAAACACACACTGTATATCCTCCCACACGCTAGCTACATGACATTAAGGTTTCCAAACTCAGTTGGTTATCAAAATCCAAGACCTTTCGACGATTTTAAAAGTGAAAGGCATTCCAAATTTGACACTGTGGGATCCCCTTATTCAGAATTATAGCAACTGTCTCCATGTTATTGGCTTTCATGCTGCGTTCATGCACCGGCAGGAAAGTCCCACATTCTTGGGTTTCAAATGTGTTGGCTGAACACATCATTGAGGTCCAGCTGCATGAGAAAATTCAACAGTCTCACATAACTGTGCAAATGTATTCAAGAAAGCACCCTGCCCCTGTGGACTATATCACATTACAAGCTGTGTGCATGTGTCCTGCTGTGTGACTGTATTTTTGGGACTTTCTAAATGCTATATGTGCCTTTTTAAATGTCAGATTATTCCCATCGGCAACATTTGTAATCTTTCCTGCACATAACAGAAGCAGTCTTTCACCGTTTTTTTTACAAACTCTTATAATATTTGTCTGGTTTTTAGCAGCCCTCACCATTTTAGGTTAAGTGGTTTGAATAAGCGTATTTTGGGCACTTGGGTCTGCTAAAATAAGTATTTGTTTATTGTTATTTTCATGAACGTGGTTTCTCGTTGTATTACTTTGCCTAAATAACAAACATTAGAGGCAAGCAGCTTCATTACAGGCCAGATGATCAGAGCTGTCAGCAAAGCACAAAGCAATTTAAAAGGTGTTATTTGGTTTGTTTGACAAAAACACAAACGCAATGAAAGACAACTTTTGTGCAAAAAAGAGTATATTCCGTCTTTAAAAAAGTGTTGTATTACAGCAGATCAGGGGACTCCCTTAATGCAGGGAACCACCCGGAAAACCCACCGTGAATTTTGATCGTAACCACAACGACATCTGTGTAAAATACTAAAGACATGATGGACCACGCTTTAAGAAGCCTGAGCAGTTTCAGCTAAAGTAGTGTAATTCAACTAAGCGGACATACTATGAGTACAAATAAAAAGGAAGTCGTCCGGATCAGCACCAGAACTGGCTGACTGGGAAATGTAGACACATAATTACTCACAGTAACATCAAGTGTGCAGGTACTTTTTTATTTGATAGCCCCTGCCTTCTCGTTGACAGAACACAGTGGCCTGAGCTCACAGGCAACATCAATACAACTACAGGCGAATCCTTCCATCGTACTGACCGGTCCTTTCTGTCCTTGTTTGGCGGTGGAGAAAATGTGTTTTCTGTTGGAACATTGAGGAAGAGGCACCCATCTAAAAAAAGCCACGGTACTGGATTTGTTGTACCAAAGAAATGGCACATGTGCTGCATCATTACTGCAGCCTAATGTCTTCATGCTGTAAAAAACTAACTAAATGGCAACATTATTTTACAAAACTCTACTAATTAGTGACTGAGAAGAAAACAAAGTCTGTGTTTTCCAAACAGTTCATCTCAGAGGCAGGACACCCGTTACGTTGTTCCCTTTCCTGCACACACTCGCAGGTGTTACAGAAATCAGATCCTACCTGTGCTCGCAGTGGGAACGTACGGTTACGAAGAGCACCTGTGAGAGGGAGCTAGCCAGGTGACTAGTACTGAGCATCGGGATCAAAATGCTTGCAGAGGGAATGCTCCGGAGGCAGAGCCCAGCAGGACGGGAACCAGTCGCAGTAGATCTCTGAGAGGGATCCTCAACTGGCTGCTACGAGACAACACATCTCCCAGAGAGCTGCAGCCTGCAGAGAGAGGAGAGAGGAGAGAGGAGGGAGCATCAGAAGAGTCCTGCGTGAGGATGTTGGGATGGGGATTGGCTTAAGGAGACACCAGACAGCTATGTGGGGTCATAAACATTTAGTTATTATTGATGTTGAAATTTTTGTATGCTCTCTTTGCCAAGTTATATCCTCCAGCACACATTTAATTCAATCTTGTAACTTGATAAAAGTAAGTTCATTCATTTGTCAAAGTACTTCTAATTTATAAATACTCTGTTAGTCTGAGATGGAGCTAGTTTGAACTATTTGTATATCAAGTATACTGTCGGTAGTGAAGTGACAACCACAAGTTAAAACTTAGGGGAATCATTAGATCATTAATGCCAGAAGAAAGTTGACAAAGGTTTAGAACAAAGCACTTTGCCTAATCTTTGCTTTATTTCATATTTAACAGTTGATAATGACACAATCTGAGAAGTGTAAACAGCAAATGCTCGTTTGTTACTGTATAAAGTAACTTGTATAAGTGTATAAAGTAGGGCTGTCAAGTTAACGCGTTAATAACGCCACTAATTATTTTAACGTGCGATTAACGCATGTGTATTTGTCCTTGGCCCGCCCCGTAGTTTCAGAGACCAAAGGCTTGACGTTGTTGTTGTTGTTGTTGTTGTTAGTTGGATGGTGGGAGATTCTAGCGAGAGATATGGATACAAAAAAAGGTGTTTTAAACAGCAAGCCACGCCCACAGCTGATGCTGACAGCCCCGCTCCTGCTGCTCGCTTGCGGCAGACCACGCTTTGCCGGGGAGACGCCTGGACAACAACAGCGATAGCTAAATGGGTGACTACAGCTTAACATTGTGGAGGACGAGGGGCTGCGTGAGATCATTCGGATCGCATCCAACGTGTCGACTGCACATCACAGGGCGTTATTTTGACCCACAGTGGGAACTTCAGTCTCATGCTTTGACTGTTATGAAGACAGAGGAGCGGCATTTCGCCGACAACTGTAAACAGGCTTGTCTGTTTGAGCAACTGGCTCAGTGCAGAGAAGTAGACTGGGTTGGGAGAGAGTGTAAGATAGAGAGAGAGAGGTTCCAGGTTGTTGTGTTGAGAATATTCAGGAGAATATTTGTCATTGTTCCAACGATAATAAACAAACATTTGCATAAAGCATATTTGTCCACTCATATGTTGATAAGAGTATTAAAAACTTGAAAAATATTCCTCTAAGGTACATTTAGAACAGATAAAAAATGTGCGATTAATCGCGATTAACTATGGACATCATGCGATTGATCGCGATGAAATATTTTAATCGACTGACAGCCCTAGTATAAAGTATAAAGCAGCATAAAGTAGATATACTTATGTAAAGTACAAGTACCATCAAATCTTAACAACACTGTGGAACTCTCTCCCTATAGTCCTCCGCTCTGCAGTCTCTGTAGAAGCTTTTAAAAAACTACTGACGACCCATCTTTTTACATTGGCTTTTTTGTCTACTTGAACTGTGTGTGATGTGTTCTGTTCTTATGTCTGTTCCTTTCAGGACTCCACGTGGTCTGTGTTTTGTTTTTATGTTGACCTTACATTTCTGCCTCATGTGGTTATTGTATTCATATTTCTGTGGTCTTCATTTTTACTTTTGTTCTTACTTGTGAAGCACTTTGTGAATTCCATTTCTGTTAAAGGTGCTATAATAAATAAACGTATAATTATTATTAAATGAAATACCTTTAGTTACTTTCACCACTGAGTAAGCTAACGGCAGCAGGAGTTGAAGAGAGCTTTTATTCCTGCTGCTGTGTGAACCGGACGTGTTAACATGCAAATACACTCAGGTGAGGTTCAGTGAGAGGAGCGAGTGTGTCTTACTCTCCAGCTGAGTGTGTGTGTTCCTGAGGCAGGGGATGGAGCGGTACACCAGGAAGCAGGCCAGCGCCATGGACTGTCCGTTCTGAGGGAGGGCCTCGCCCCTCATGTAGGACCTCAACACTGAGCTGTTCTCTAGGAAACACAAACAAGGCACACAATGTTTTATCAGGTGTACCTACAGGTGGGATTTAAATAAATGAATGTCTTTTTTAATCAGGATACAAATAAAAGACACATTTAAAAGCAGGTTTATGATTGACAAAAAAAAGGGTGTGAGATGTAAAAACATTTGATCAAACACGTTTGCTCACATCACTGTTGGCCAGTAAATACAATCTGCGCACAGGGGGAAACTAGATTTATAATGCCTCATCTGAATTCATTTGGATTTTAAATAGAAACCAAAATAAAGACAGTAAATAATAAACTATTTTTTAAACACAAACTGGAACACTTAGATAAAACCATATAAACTAAAACTCCTCGAAACTGCATCCCTTAGGATAGTTCTCTGTCTGTAAAACACTTCCAGTATTTTATCGAAAAAGAAGGACCTCTGAGAAAGACAAATGGAACCAAGTAGAAACAAAAAATCCTACAAAACAGGTTTGTATCAGAAAACCTATTTCATCATGTGTGACTTCCAGTCAAAAGCAACATTCCTGAAAGTTGATGTCAAGCTAGTTGCTAGTTTGTTTTTCCTTTGAAATGTCTGCCAAAGTCTTCATGAGAAATGAAAGTAAAGGCATGTTTGAACTGTTACCATGACAGCAGTCACCTGTTTCCCATGCCTCTCAGTGTGCATTTATTATTGTAAGTGTGTGGGTGTCTGTGTGTGTTTGTGTGTGTGTGTGCACGCAAGTAAGGTATGGAATGTGTGTTTGTTGGAGTGATACACAGGCTGTCAGTAATTATCGTGCTACACCCTTTACAGGAAATCCAGCTGAAACACATAGTCAACGATTCGTTTTCTCCACTCCCAAAATGTGAATTCCTTAAGTTAATGTTAAGAAATGACTCCTCTCGCTCGTCTGATCAACATTTATATGAGATGTGAACTGTTTGAGGAAGGCTTTCTCACTTTCAGCTGACGCAGGTTTCCTGTAGAGGGACTTTAACTCCCTGACCTGCCTGACATTTAAAGTCATGCTTTTCTGGTTATTACCCGTCCCCTTGTGTGTTATGTAGCTTTTTCGGCATGTAAACGGTCTGCAGAGTCACAAATCCTCAAAGTACACCCTGTAGCGAATAAAACTGTCTATGCTGCCCCAGAACGCCTCGTTGGAGATATCTCTTTTTCCATTGTTTACTTCTTGGGTATAGTGACGTATTTCGGGTATAGTGACGTTACGTCCGCGGAGCCGTGACGTTTCGACCAATCCGCGGACTTCCTCACACACACACACACTCACACACTCGGTGGGACGTTGCGAGGCTCGCTGCTGCGAGGAGCGGGACACTGTGAGCCGGCTCACTGATGTGTCGGCGAGACACCGCGGAACTCAGCCTGGGCACACACACAAACTCCCAGCCAGGCTGCGGGTGTGTGTGTGTGTTTCGTTTTGCTGTGTCTCGCAGGGAGGGGGGGGCAGGAGCTCCAACAAGCCGTTTAGGACAGAGAGTGAATACACATACAGAGATGCTGTATGAGAAACTAATGTGAGTTTGGAAAATTGCACAATATAAATCTATTCTAGTAGACCTCAACAATGGAATTATGATCAGTAGAAATGGCCATGACATGGGACCTTTAAGAATAAGGAGTATATTACCCCTTTAAGGCGAGACACCCCAGGTGAATAGGGTAATTTTTTTAACTTAAAGTGTTGAGATCTTCATATGAAGTGAATACTTAAAACGAAAGTAAATTGAGATCATGGTATGAAGTGAATACTTAAAAACGAAAGTTAATTATAAATCATATATCAATCATATTCTTGTATAAACCCATAATGAGAATGCTTCTTGACGGTTTTTGAATATGTATCTATGCTTACAATTTTTTCTGTTGCTATTTTGATAACTTTGCGTTTTGAAAAGAGGGTGTTGTGAGTTTTCATAGTATGTTTAATACTTAAAAACGAAAGTTAGTTATAATCAAATATAATCAATTATATTCTTGTATAACCCACAATGAAAATGCTTCATATTTTAGGTTTTCTATAGTTACAGTATAAACAAAACAAAGTGGTGTTTAGGTTGAGTTTTCTTCCTCTCCTCTGGCAGCAGTCCACAGGGAAGGGGGGGGGGCTTCACACTAAGGGGAGAAACATTAAGAGGCCAAAGAGAGTTCATGTCCTTTTTACCTCATATGAAAGGGTGTCTTATCCCATAACAGCTGTGGAACATGTTGAGGCATGTTCAGCCTTGTACATTATAGGACATGCGCAGTTCTTCACAAATTACGTGAAGAGGAGTTTGTTTTTTTGGGTTTAGGATCCAGTTTTTTTTAGCATAAAGAGACTGGTTTTTTGAGAGAGCGCGAGAGAGGGGGGGTGACCCCTGGTAGACTCTCTCCCGGTAGGCTGTGTGCTTCAGAGCTGGGTTAATAGCTCTCGGTAAGGTCCTTCTAGATGGGGTAAATATCTCTCGAATTTATTGGTTGTTGGCTGAGTGGAATGATTTGATGAGAGATGTGTGTATGAACCTTTATAAATACCGCGACCTGTGGGGAAATCTGGTCCCCCGAATTTTGCTGAGAGGTATGGGTTTTTGAGTGTTAATCCGCCGTCTGTGTCGGAAAAAACGGTATGAAACTGATGTGAATAAATGGGTGAATGGAAAGTTGAATGCGCTTTTTATTGTCACCGGTCTTTTTATGAGGAAATACCTCTAAATTCTATCGGGAGAATTTTAAAATGTCACAACTGAAATGGGCAGTTGAAATTAAAACATTTTGGTAATAAATGTAAGACTGTGAATTAAAGTTTCATTTGAACATGATCACAGCACGGTTTTTTTGTTAGTATGATTATAATGTTGTGAGAGAGAAGGTAAAAACCCTGTATTAGTTTGGACCTATTTTTCTTCAAATAAACTGAATCCCACCAGTTGGATTGGGATCCTTTAAAAGACACCTGTGCCCTCCTCTCCTGCGTCAAAGGTAAGACTGCACCCTGCCACACACACTTAGGTAGGAGCACACTCCATTTACTGATATCAAAATCCTTCGGGATCGCTTAAACAGATTAAAAAAGAGTTGTCTGAATTGAAACAGCAGTTAATTGAACCTGGTTCTTCGGGGGGGTTAGGAAGAGGTGAGATCTTGCTGACGTTGGTGGATCTGAGCCAAGCAGCAAACTTACATAGACTCAATAATCTTCGGAAAGGTCAATTAGTAGGTCAGAGTAATTTACCGGAATAAATTATCAGGACCTCTCAAAACTCTAAACAAAAGGTATCAGCTAGACATTTCTCCAGTTAATTACTTACAATAAGGAAATTGTCTTTTGTATTACAAGTTTTCTGAAATAGCATGTTTAAATATGCAAATTATCCATTATCTCATTAAATATGCACATATTTTAACACATTTCAGGAATCGAAATCTGAACTTTGGATATAGCCAGATTCAAAATTCTTGTTTGATTTTGTAGTCATATTAGTATCTAAGGCTTTTACAGAAGGGATATTGGATATCTCTTTTTATCATTCCATAAATCAGAAAATACTGTCAACAGCCCTAAAATATCCATTTTCGCCATGTTTTTAGGTATACAATGTTGTATAATTCAGGCTATGAATTATATATGAACAAACCCTTCTGTAAAAGCCTTCATAATATTGATAGGAATATAACTGGAAGGTTTGGTGTATGTACGTGCTACTGAAGTTGACATTTCGAACTCAGAGTAGGAGAAAAAACTCATTTTGAGAAAACGACCTTTAAAGATTGCAGTGAGGCGCTCGCTAAACCCTCCTGTTCTTTGGATGACAGCTTGCGCATCGACGCACTCCGTGAAGGTATTTCATGTTCAGGGTCATTTTTTTTTATATAACCTTGCTTCGTGCAAGTGACAATTGTTGTCGTCTTCTCTGTGAACGTTTTTTTCGCTGTTCTTTTGGCATTTTGAGATTTCAATTTCTAGCTGAAAGCTAACCAGGAAGTGTTTTAGCACATCACGTGACGCATCTGAACGAATCACGTTGTCAGAAATTGACACCAGCCAATGAGATTTCGTTTCTTGGTTTAAGACCCCTTTGTGCTTTCACGATTGGTTGCTGATACAAAGGAAATGACCATATTTGGATCCGATGAGATTGTGCAGGAGAGACACAGCTTTCCAGCGATACCTCTGTTGACATGGTGCACACAGCGGTCGCGGTACTTTATGTTACGTTAGAATGATAACTTTTGGTGAATTTAGGAGAAATCTACAGACGCAAATAGACAAACTATAGTAAAATAAACACTTAAATGTGTATTTTGTACGTTTTCCTTCCAAAAGCCTGAAAGACAACATGTTATGGAATCAAAATAGCACAAAATCTCAAAATTGACCAGTACTTGAAAAACGATGTTTTTGCCTGCCGTGTCTCGCCTTAAAAGCTTTAATGGGTTTTAAAGAGGCAATATTATAGTCATTTTCAGTACATATTTGGTATTTTGTGCCCCTTCTGTGAATTTTTTTTATATGCCTTCCTATGCACACACACACACAGTCCTCCTCACCTTTGAGCCAGCTGTCCAGTGCCACATCCACCATGTTCTTCATGACGGGCAGGAACTCGGAGGTGAGCAGCGCGTCGTGGCGGTTGTTGGGCCCCCGCTGCACCCGGCTGTCCCACAGCTCCACCACCAGACGCATCTGCCACAGGGGGAAGGTCTGGAGCAGATCCCTCCGACGCAGAGCCCCCACCGCCTGGGAGACAGCAGCGAGCACAGGGTAACGTACCGGCACATGGGAAGAAGGGAAATGGTTTTGGACAGTTTAGCATTTAAAGTGAGTCATGTTGAGATAGAGGGGATGATATGTGTTAAAGCAGTGGTTCTCAAATGGGGGTACGCGGACCCCTAGGGGTACGTTGGAGTACGTGAGATTTATTTTATGTTAATGAAAAAAAGAAGCAGTGAGCAGTGTGGGTTTTATATTAATAGACTAGAGTTACACATATTTCAAAACACGAAGTGTAATAACTGAAGTTTGCCTCCCTGTCAGAATGACAAAGATCCTCAGTGAAGCTCAAGCCCATGTTTCTCACTACATTGTAAGTACAATTTATTAAAAAGATCAGTTCAATGCAACTAATGTCGTCTTAGTGTTATTGCATGATGTTAAAATTGGTTTGCCATGAATTTAGTGATGGATTGTAAACATTTGAAATGTAGCATTTAAGTGTTTCTCAGTTACAAGGTTGTTGTTTTAATAAATCAGACACTGATGGTGCAAGGCTGTACTGTACCTCTTTATATAGGCTTTTTTCCCCTAACAAATAGTTTTTGCACTGATCAGGGGGTACATGGCTGAATATTCTTTTCAAAGGGGGTACATTATTGAAAAAAGTTTGAGAATCACTGTGTTAAATGACTGCAGGCCCCGGATTCAGCCCCACCTCATGGACTTAGTCTTACCCACTGAGCCATGAGCCGAACGCAGAATAGATTTTTATCACAAGATATTTCACACGAGCGAGCCTAAAGGTTGACAACATCCTTAATTAGAGGAACTGAGGCCCCGAAAAGTGGAGATACCTGAGGTAGAAATCATATGTTTTCATATGTCTAGTTTTTTTATTTGGATGGGTTTATAAAAAGAAAACTTTACTGCAAAATAATTTTTTGGGTTGATGTTAAAGGTGGGGTAGGTAATTCACTTCAGAAACACTTGTTGTTATATTCCATGGAATGCTCTTAACATCCCGATAGCAATGAATATATTAAATGCTTTGACAATAAATACATTAAAAAAAATGTCATCTGAGGAAGCCGTAGCGCTGTAAAAAGCACGACCAATCATCTGAGCCGGCCCGGCTAAAGTAACTGGATGGCCTACCTGCCTGTCAGCCCTCCATCTCGTGCACAAACTTATCTCGTGCCCTCATTGGTCATGTGCGCGTTCGTGTGTGTTGGAGGAGGGGCTCTGTAAGGAAGTCTGAAGGAAGTGGCCGATTTATTTCGGCTGCGTACTTTCAAATTCTAGCGCACTCAAGCTGGTTTCTCCATTCTTACCTACCCTACCTTTAAGATCCTTCCCATGATTAAAAATGTAGGCTTCTCTAAAGTGGACTGTATGACTCATCACATGTATCTCAACCTGATCAGAATTGTTTTTCAGTTGTGTAGGTCTACAAAAAAATAAATGTACAAACATTTCCTCAGAAGCATAACTCCAGCGTTAGTAATGTTACGGCTGCATTTTTCTCATGTGCGGCTTTCACACCAGCGCTTTTCCCTTTCTAGCTCCGAGCGGGAGCTTTTCTGGTTCAGCTCCGGTTTCCCTTTTCTGCTCCCGCTCTGTTCACACCGCCCAGAGCTGCCGCTGCTGCGTCATGACGTCACCGTTTACGTGCCTGCTTCATAAAATCCAAACCGCGCGGAAATCCCTCACATCGACAACAACAACAATGGACGATTGTATTGAAGCGCTGTTCGCTTTGGTTATCCTCTTACGAAACGAAATGGAAGGCATCGGACGACTTTACAAGGGACGACTTTACTTGGAACTTTACAAACATCACATGTGAAATGCAAGACTTCTTTGTGGTCTTCAGCATCTACTTCAACCCGCCTCGACGTAAGAGAGACGTAAGCGACGCCGCCTCTTAGCGCCGAAGCTCTTGCCTCTAGACCGACAATTTTTTGGAGCTGGAAGTGAACCGGATTCCGGAGCTAAGAAGCGGCGCCTCTGCGGTGTGAACAGGAAAAAACGGTACTTTTCAGGCTCCAGCTCCGAGCCGGAGCTGAAAACGCGTTGGTGTGAAAGGGGCATTAGTGAAAGTTTTGTATAAGTTCTGGTCTAGAGATAGGCAACAATGAAACACAATTGCAACCAGCAAACAGCTTTTCATGCTTGACAATTCACAAAATTCTACCTTCAACTTTAAATGTTATCTTTAATCCCTAAATTGCAAGTGTTTTACATTTTGTTCTATCATTCTCTAAAGCATAAATGATTTTCAAATGATTTCAGTTAATTTCACTGCGGTTTGTAAATCAATTTTTGAAGACCGACAACCAAAAAACGTGAACTCCCCCTTTAACTACCAATTGTTCGTCAAGTTATTGTTGCTTGGTAAAGTTATGTACTAAAAATGGCGAGATTGTTTAAAGTAAAGTTTACATATTTGTGTGTGTGTGTGTGTTACCTGCTCAATAGCAATATAGGTGGGCAGCATCTCTGGACATTCCTGCGTCACACATTCGTACAGCATCGCCGAGAACAACACGAGAGTATCATCTCTCTGCAAACATGACACACACAGGTTAGGTGACGGTTCAAAACGTATAAAAGTAAAAAAAAAAAAACAGTTCCTAGAATCTCATATGCCAAACTCATTTATATTTGATTTGAGCCTATAGTTCAGTTATTTTAGGGACATTGTAGCTTGGTGTGTAAAAGTTTGAATGATAGTTTATGTTGGAAACAGTTTGCACCTCTCCATTTGAGCACATATGCTGTTAATCAAATAAATAACCTCATAAGGAATTTGCGAAAAAGCAGCCAAAATATAACTTTTTCCTCATTTGGGAGTAAGAGTTCAAATTTCAGGAAATGTTTGACATTTAAGTTCAACAACTACTGACGTACCAGAAAGTGCATTTCATCAAGTTCTTTTTTCTAAACAGGCTTCCTATATACAAAATTAATGACTTCAAATGACCTTAAAGGTTTTCTGAATGAAACTGAAGGACTGAAAATTGCCATGTCATTCAATTCAATTACCGAATGTTAGGCTACAGAATGAGTCATTTTATTCCATTTCAATCTTCAATCTGAAACCAGTGAACTATGTGCAATCCAACTAATTAACCTTAAGCCACCTCTTAACTCGGAAAATAAGAGTCAAGTGATTAATAAGCAAAGTGAGCATTTGTTCATGACAATCTATACAATCTATTTAAATTCTTTAGGTACTCAGTGAATCACATGTGCTATATATAGTCATTTGTGTTTAAGGCTGAAACATCTGCCATCTTGCAGCAGAAAAACCTTTGGTGCCTGCTCTGTGTTCTACATTTAAGTTTCCAAGCCTTTTAAGGCAGCTGCATATCAGAGATTAATATTTTGTTTTGGGCCATTTAAGTCATGTTTAAATGTCTTTGTCTGGATATTTTCAAGATCTCCATCAACACCACACAGACACAGGTGAAACTAATTAGCTAATCCAGAGACAACTGTAATCTCTTCGTTCATTACCTTTTACAAAACAATATGGAAAATCAAATAGCAGATGGCATGCAATCAAGGAGCAACAGTGGCCTCAGCTACATCTAAGGCGCTTTCACACCGGAGTACTTTTCCCGTTTAGTTCCGATAGTTCCTGGGAAAAAGAGAACTTAGTTCATGAGAACTTTTACCCCCTTTTTAGGGCCTGCTAGAGAGGTGGTAAAAAGTTTGCTGGCATTAGCATTAGCCCCACGCACCAACGCAGAGAGACTAACTTATGGCAACACAAAAAAAAACATGGGAGCAGTGGAGTGATGAGGAGTTGTCGGCGTTCTGGTGATTTACTCGGAAGGCTTCAGTAGAAGCAGCTGGGAGTCCCAGCAGCTTCTACTGAAGCCTTCCCCAACTCCGGGGACTTCCGGCCGGGGATTCCGGGCGGCAGTATACGCCGTGAAGTTGTTTGTGGCCTGCCAGTAAACCCAAAGCAGAAGAAGAAGAAGTGACGTCAGCGGCTTCATTTGCCTAATCTTCCCTCAGGGAACTTATTCCGGTGTGAACACGATCGGCTCTTAGTTCCATGGGGGTACTAAGTGCTGGGAACTAAGTGCGGCAAAGTATTTGGTATGAAAGCGGCTATTTGTGTGTACAACTCACTTGTTTTATTTCTTCAGATGTTTTACAGAAGAACTCTGCAAATGAGACCAAGGCCGGCTCTGAGGTGAACGTAGAGATGGCTTCAGGCTGCAGAAACACACATAAGAACATTTCACAATTATTTTAATGAGACAGCACATGAATAATGTATAGAGAAGCAAGGAAGGTTACAAAAGAGGATGGTGTAAGGAAGAAAAGGGTGCCAGAAAAGTTGGTCAAGACACTGAAGAATGAATGCATAAAAACAAAAAGAGAAAGGGGAGAAGGACACAGACAGGAATAAAACAGTAATGTTTTGTTGGTATCCCTGCGGACCTGCAGGTGTATTGACAGCTCACACTGAGGCCATCAGGAAACCAGTAATAGTCTGTCAAACACACAGCGGCCTGCGTTACTTGTAGTGACAACCTGCCAACACCGGACACATCCAGCCACTGGAGAGGGGGTCAGTTCAGTTCAACTCACGTCTATTTATAGCTGGTTATTAGTGCAGATTTAGGTTTTTAAATGTCTCTCAAACCCGGGTATATGAAATGCAAAACTAAGGGCATTTCAGACCTGTAGTTTGTTTGACAGCAACGACATGTGAAAAACCAATTAACATTGTTCGTGATAAACTGTTCGATGTAATCTATTCTGAAAATGTATCAGAACATTGTGACGGCCCCATACCCGTACACTACACACATTACTGATTAACTGACTTCCTAATTAACTTTGTTTCTTTAAAGGTCACCTATTTTTAGGCAATAGCATAGGTCTCAGATATATACAAATATATAAAAAACATGTCTATGAGGTGTTTTGCACAAAATACCAAACAGATCACCCATTCTAGCCATGCCTCATATCCCTCTATTTCACTTCCTGTTTCTAAAGCGCTGATTTTGGGTATAAAGCTTTAAAAAAATAAAAAAGGAGGGGGCCGAGCTCATGCGGGACCCGGCAGCTACTGTCTAAACTAAATACTGCCGTGATGAAACGCCATATCATGGATTATCAAGGAGTATTTCTGAAACAGTCTGGAGCTCAAAGGCTTTCTCTCTTGCCGGTTATACCACAAGGTGAGTTCCTTTTTATTTCCTGCTTCTTCACACACATGCTCTCCAGTACAGGTTAGCTCTGAGTGTTAGCGATGCTAATGTGAACACAGACCATATTACGTCCAAAACAGTCGGCCATTGTTTCTGATAGCAACGTTTCTGATAGGGCCGTGGGTCCACATTTCCGATATTACGTCATATCGGACGCAAATCTGGATCAGCTCCGTTGTAGCCCCGTTTTTAGAGATTTGGGTACGGAGGAAAAGAGAGAGGGTTTTATTTCCTGACACACCGGGGACACATATTTATGTATAAAAGACATCAAAAAGTGCATTTGCACCTTTAAGTAAATGTACTTTAATTGGAAATGAATCATGTGTGGTCTCCTTCTTTTGTCTGTCCTTGAGCCACGGCGTGACAACATCTACAGCTGGACGTATTAAATATAAAGCCCCTACTAAGACACAATAATAGACACACAGAGGAAAATACAATATGTATCCCAGTTATATCCTCATAGCACTACATGTGATATCCATGTGTGCACCTTGAACGCTCTGACTCCAGAGTTGCGGCGGTTGACGGTTGAAGCCAGCAGGCTCTTCCAGCCCTGAGGGTCGTCCTTGTAGGGCAGCTGTCCAGCCCGCAGCTTCACGTACAACACGCCATCTCTGCACAGGATGGACCTGAGGGAGAGGTAAGTATTCAGAGACAGGTTGACCTTTACATCTGACGACTCATTGGTCAATACATGAGATCAGAGCTTCCCCTGGGATTCTGCTAATCAATCTGTGGCACAAAAAGACAAAGAAGGTTGTTACGGTCTCCGCCTTCTATCTGCTCAGTAATCTGTCTGTGAGTGTTTTCAGCTGTGTGTGTGAGATGTGCGGTAGCCCTGACGTCATTGGCTGCCCATCCTCTGGTCCGCCCCTGAAGATTGTGATTGGAGCACGCCGGGCCCGACGCACTCCAATCGCAGCACACAGCCGGCGCACACCTGCTGGAGATGACTACAAAGCCTGGGGGCAATTATCACTCTCACGCCACTAGCCGCTTGATATTCTTGTGATGGTTTAGTGACTTCTGTGTGAAAGCTATATTGTTTAACAGCGTGTTAACTTAGAGCTTCTGTGTTTAGGTAGATATTGCAGTGTAATTGTGTAAATAGGATCCAGGGTAGCTTAGCGGTTAGCACCTGTCGATTAGTAGCAGCTGTGTTTTCTACAGCCTTTTCAGTTACGGGTACCACGTTAAAAGTGAGGTTTTTGTTTCCCTTTTGTGTACTGTGAATAATACTGTGAATAATCTGTAAGACTCCCTTTTGGAGTACTCTTTCTGTTGGTTGTTGTCAACCGGTATTTTGGCCCTTTGTTTGTGCCAGGCTGTATGCCTTTATTATTTTGTTACCACTATTATATATATATATAAATAAATACCTATAATTATACCAATTCTACACTGGTGTATGTTGTTTCTCTCTACTCCTAGAGAGGGGCGTAACTTACATGGGGGCTCGTCCGGGATATTTAACATAATTCCTGGGGTTATAGGTGGTTTTTTATAGCTGGAAACAATTTGGTAAGGTTTGTAAGCAGTTCATCTGAGTATGGCACTTTTCGATTTTGAGTCTTTCTTAGTCTGTCCGTCCTATGAGCAGCTGGACCGGTGTCGTAAGGACGATTTGAATGAGATAGCGCAGCATTTCAGTCTTGCGGTGAGTAAGTAATTGTTAAAAAAAGAGTTGGTTTAATTTATCAGATACTCATCCTAGTTTTGGTGTTAGCTCTACAACATGTTGAGATCTGTGTAGGACTCAGCCTTTGGCCAATCATAGTCGTGTTCCTTTGTTACGATCCCTACGTAGTCTGCCCTAGCGTGCACAAGCACGATCAGTGTCTCATGCGATGGGCTCTGATCGTGCGGGACTACCACATAAGACATCCGTCTTAAACAGGGCTCAGAGAATGTGTTGGCCGATGTATTGTCCAGGTTGAGTTTGTGATGTTAGTGTGTGTTATTAGGTAGGTTTGTTAGTGTGTTTGATTCACAAAACTATAAGTTTGTGTCTTAAGGGGGGGGGGGGGTGTTACGGTCTCCGCCTTATATCTGCTCAGTAATCTGTCTGTGAGTGTTTTCAGCTGTGTGTGTGAGATGTGCGGTAGCCCTGACGTCATTGGCTGCCCATCCTCTGGTCCATCCCTGAAGATTGTGATTGGAGCACGCCGGGCCCGACGCACTCCAATCGCAGCGCACAGCCGGCGCACACCTGCTGGAGATGACTACAAAGCCTGGGGGCAATTATCACTCTGGAGGCTCTGTGATGTGGGACAGACGCCTCTAGCCTCTTGATATTCTTGTGATGGTTTAGTGACTTCTGTGTGAAAGCTATATTGTTTAACAGCGTGTTAACTTAGAGCTTCTGTGTTTAGGTAGATATTGCAGTGTAATTGTGTAAATAGGATCCAGGGTAGCTTAGCGGTTAGCACCTGTCGATTAGTAGCAGCTGTGTTTTCTACAGCCTTTTCAGTTACGGGTACCACGTTAAAAGTGAGGTTTTTGTTTCCCTTTTGTGTACTGTGAATAATACTGTGAATAATCTGTAAGACTCTCTTTTGGTTGTTGTCAACCGGTATTTTGGCCCTTTGTTTGTGCCAGGCTGTATGCCTTTATTATTTTGTTACCACTATTATATATATAAATAAATACCTATAATTATACCAATTCTACACTGGTGTATGTTGTTTCTCTCTACTCCTAGACATTTTCACACACTGTCTATTTAGTGGTTTTTATTTGACTGATTAGATGCAAGCACTGTTGAATCCCTCTATACTTACTTTAGATGCTGTGTTTCCTTGCTGAGGTCTACGGACAGTTCCCAGTATCTCGGCCCCTTTACCTTTACCTGCAATAAAGAAATGAACACACACATCAGAAAATAAAATAATTAATAAATGGGGGTATGCCTTGTTTAAACCATTTGAGTGATTAAGTGATTGATGCCGTTTATATTCTTTTCGCGTTTATCAATATCCTTCATTCATATCACATAGCTAGTCCTCAGTAGAGAGGGAGCTACACTGAACAGTGTCGTTTCTACTAGACTCTGTTGTTCTCAGGATTTACCGTTTTGAGGAGGTGCAGCTCAGGAAGCATGGTGGGAGCCATCAGTTCTACAGTTGTCTCGTCGTACCACTTTGTCTCCTAAAACAATAGAAAATGGCGTCATTGCATCAAAGCTGGACTGATACCCAGTGTGGCTTCATGTGGCATTGCCTTACTCTATATAGCCATGCTGTGAGTATTGCTTTTGTACTTTATCAATGAAAGAGTAAAAGAGACCATTTGGTTTAAGAAGCAGTAAAACAAAATAGCTGGATGCCAAAAACAGACTCGAGATAAACAGAACTTCATTGATGTAAAGATGTTTTCATTCAATTTAATTCAGATTGAGTCGAACTGTCTTTAATGTCCATTCAGTAGATAAAAACACACCTCCATAGCTTAAGATGTATCATTTATTTGCATTTCGCTCACACAAGCAGTGACGTAAGCACTGATGATGTTCACAGTGTCACACTAAGCTTTCAGATATGAATTAAATTGAGGTGAGGCATGCTCTCAGAGGTGGTCCTGACTTCCTCAGTTTGAGTCTATCCTGGGATGACTTTTGCATATTTATCTCCCCCTCATTTCCTGTCATAAACCTGGAGGTGCTGCTAATTCACTTTCCTCTAAAATATGTTTCCACATGATCGTGGATTTATATTGGCAAACTTACAGTCACAGGCCTCCAATAAAACTCCACCTACAATCCAGTTAGACTATTTTCGGCGTTTCCCATTTTCTCTAAAGGTCAGACATTTTACTTTAAGCACAGCCACGTGGATGATTGTTTACTCAAACATTAAAGAAGTATTGTGAAAAACATAAAAGATATTCAGTATGGCTTAAAATCAAAATACTTCACAACTACAAAACTTCAAGCAGCAGAACCTCACAGTGCTTCTAAAACAAAACAGATTTCTCAAATAGCCTCATCTAAAAAAAGCAGCATGAAAACCTCACTGAGGGAAATGTAGAAATGACTGTTCCTGTAATTCAGGAGCTATTTACTGCATCTGTCGAGACACAGCTACGGTATTGCAGCAATTGCTGTTGAAAGTACATGTTTTAAAAGCTGATGCACTTCACATAGACTGGAGGATAATAATAGCAGGGTAAAAATATCGAACACATGGAAAAACATCTAGTTCTTATTTAACCGTCTCATTTTCTGGTCGAACATTATAACGGGTTGTTGTTTTTATGAAAGAGTCTCCAAATGTGGAAAGAGTGGTGACAGAGCGCACGTGATCTGAATGAATGGACACACTGTGCCACTTTGGAGACGCAAAACCGGAAGTCTGAACCACATTGGCTCCAACTGGCACAAAGAGGCACCATGACTCCTCGTTCGTTTCACTGGAGGGCTTTTGGATTTTAAAAGATGCCGTTTTTCAGAGCAATCCCAAACAGTTTTAAAGACTTTTCCGGACCACTATCTTACTGCAAACTACTGTGCATGTTTCTGAAAACACATTGCTTGTTAAGAGAGTTCGTTACAGAGCTTCCTTAGATTGTAATCTGTTAACAAATGCATTTGATGTGCGCTGCTATCTAAACGGCGGCAAGTGAAATATATTCAAGTTAGGATCGTTTTAGTGTTAACACCTAACTCTGTAGTCATGTATTTATTTCGAACAATGTATTAACCATTTCATTTGTGTTGAATTATATATTTCTTATTTTATTTTCCTCTTTATTTGTAACTAATGATGTGGAGATGTTTTCCCCATGTCCAATTTGTGTGTATTTACGATCCCAAAGAAGACTGCTCAAAAGAAGCAATTGGGAATCACATTAAGAATGATAAATGTTAGCTGGTTAGCTACTCAAACACATCAATCTACTGCTTTACCTAACAAGTAAAGCATACATGTGGATGAGATGCCACAGTGTAGTTGTTATGCAGTGGTAGTTTACGTTTTCCGATAAAGAGTGAACTTAATTTAAGGTTACAGGTAAAGAGCTGATCTTTGCTTGAACAAAATATACCAATTACAACTCCAGTTTGAGGAAGCTGTCCAGCTGACAGCAGTAATGCTAGCAAACAGAAAAACAGAAAAGTATTTCAGGCGTGAAGTTTTTTTTTCTCTCACCTACATTACAGTTTGTGTAAGCATATAAGCAGTATGTGTGGTTGCATGTCAAAAAGCTCGTCAAGAGGAAATGCAGATATTGACAACATGTGTGACAGAGATAGAGAGCAATAGAGAGAGGAAGGAAGTGGATGCCATCATACAGAGAAAAATATGTTACTTGAGTGTTTGCTCATGTTTCACTACACATATTAAACAAGGGAACAAAGGCTTCAGTCAGGCATGTTAGCTTGTAGATTTTGGATGTTGAAGGTACTGCGGAGGTGAAGCAATGCTAAAAAAGATTGCTCTATACTTAAGCACTGTAAGGACAAGAGGGAATGACCAGTTCTGAGAACATTACATACACATTTTCATTAAGAAACATGTTAAAAAATAATCATGGTGTGATTTTTGAATAGGTTTTGTACCAAACAAGGATTTTGTATTAAGTCTGTAGATTAACATTTGTAGGCCAGGACTTCTCTGCAGTACCACACTATTTTTTCCAGATAACCCTTCTCACATATTTTGTAAATTGCACTAGTCCATATTGCAATTATGATAACATTTAAATTAACTGTGCAGCCCTGTTTGTGTGTAGCTGTCAGTGTGACCTGATGAACGTAAAGTTCAAGGTTAGTTTATTTGTATAGAACATTTAAAGGCACAGAGGCAATTCAAAGTGCTTCACATAGGCATTTCAAACATAATAATTCAAAACAAAACAAACCCACAAACAAAAACATAATTCATAAAAGCGATTAAAATATTGGCTGCAGCTAAAAGTGCAATGATAAGGCACGGTTAAAGGATCTCAGGATAGGCTGCAACGTACCTTGTAGGTGACCTCTAAGAGGGCGTAGCAGGGCTTCAGAGAGTCCACATCCACGGGCACCAGCAGCCGCGGCTCTGCAGCCAGAACAGCCAGGTGCCGCAGGGCCTGCAGGTGGTAGCTGCAGCCAGACACACAACATCAACACTCTGCTAATGACTACAGTAGTAGTTTAGTAGCTTTCAATGAAAAAACAAAGAGAGACACAGTAACACATTCAGAGAATAACAGGCATGTCATTATCGTTTTATAATGATTGAAGCTTCTCTATTACAAAAACAACTGAAAAACCTGCCGAGTTTATAAATAATTGTATCATATATTTTAGTTTTTTAAAAAGGTTTTAGGAATATCCTTTTGGGGAAAAACTTGATCGACTGACAGCAAGTATTTTGTTAATATCTTAAATGTCTTTCACCCATCAATCATAAACAAAATGTTCCTTTATAAAGCAACTACATACACAATTTGACTGAGGTCTTTTTATTACAGTGTGTGTGTGTGTGTGTGTGTGTGTGTGTGTGTGTGTGTGTGTGTGTGTGTGTGTGTGTGTGTGTGTGTGTGTGTGTGTGTGTGTGTGTGTGTGTGTGTGTGTGTGTGTGTGTGTGTGTGTGTGTGTGTGTGTGTGTGTGTGTGTGTGTGTTCTCACCGGTTGTCGGTGCTGTGAGCAGGAAAGTGTGGGTACAGGGCGCACAGCAGAGCGGCGATGGCTGAATTGGAGGTGCTCAGGGTGTACCTAACAGACAGAATTAAACCCAAAAACTGAAAATACGCACCGGACTCAGGCATATATTACAAAATTACAGTGTTCATTATACAAATAAATGCAGGACTGTCTTTCACCCTCAACAACAAGTTTTAAAAGAGTCCATATAAATCCCCTTCTTTATGAACGCTCTGCTCTGTTAGTAAAACCAAGTGTGTGTTATAATCTAGTTCACGTCATCACATGCCACACCAGAGCCTCTTAAACATTATAATTGGCAGTACAGTGTGTACTTTGACTAATGGAGTCATTATAATAAAGTTGGATCAGACATTAAAGGGATTTTGTGCAAGGTTAATTGTGAGGGTACTTTCATTTTAAACGGTCAACTCAGGTAAAGCCTGCTGCTCTTAAAATAAATGGCTACTTGGGGAATCTTTAGCATGTTTAAGAGCTTTAATCACACTGAATATGACATACTATTTTTCCCCAGAAGAGAACTGTGTGTTATTTATGGTGAAAATAAACAGGCATGTTTTTCAGACTTGGGAATTCAAAACAGTTACAAACAAACAAACAAACTTCAACTGACAGTGTTGATGGTTAAAAAAGTAAAACAAATAGCAGATGCTGCTGCCATAACTGCACATTGGGGCGATATGGTATCCAGTAGCTGCCACATGCTGAGTTATAAGTGCCAGCTGTGGAATTATCTTCTCTATCTGTATCAAATTAACCTTTCATAATTTGATTCAAAGCGAAAAATGGTGTTCAGTGAAAAGATTTTAAAGCAAATCTTTTGGCAGTCACTTCATGAATACAAGAAATAAGCTAATATAGACCCACAGTACTCTGCAGCTAGTATCAGTCTGAATGCCATGTATGGAATGAAAAAAAAAGTAACTTTCAGTTCAGTTTCCATCTTAAAAAAGCCCAAATAAATGGAAAAAGGGAAGGGAAACTTACTGAGTAGACAGAAAGAGAGACGCAGTGAAGTAGGGGAGGAAGGGGGAGAAATAATTAAAAGCCACAAAAAAAGAACTAAACAGAAATAAAACGTAGGAAAAACAAAAGAATGAAAAAAAACTGTGATGTGGCCATAATGATGAAACGTGTGGAGGCAAATGTAAACAGGTATTTTCTATACAAACGGGTGAAAGACTGAATGACAGACATGGACAACAAAGCAGCGTCAACTTTAACCTCTGCAGACTCGCTCTAACACTCAAATAAATACACACAAAAGGTGCATGACATTCAAACCGAGTCCCTGCAGCTGCGTGGACTTTCAGATGATTGGTCGAAAACAATACATGATCCGAATGAAATGAAAAGGTTGATCTGATTACGGCTGTAGGTGGGTAAACATTTGCAACATGTAATGAGAGAGCAGGAGCCATTGTTTCTATGGAAAATACACAGGCCAAGGTCAGTGGTTTGAGGAACCTGGTGTGTGTGTGTGTGTGTGTGTGTGTGTGTGTGTGTGTGTGTGTGTGTGTGTGTGTGTGTGTGTGTGTGTGTGTGTGTGAGCAGTCAAATAAGGATTGTTTGTATTTGTGTGGCCAACCCATATTGTGTGTGTGAGAGCTTTACCTGATTCTTCCCAGAAAGTCCCAAACTAAACACAAAAGTGTGTTTATGTTTGTAATCAGAGTCCTCTAAGCACACAGCAATGCATGCTCCATATGACAGCTTACATGTAGATGTATAATAATTATCCTTTATGTATTCAACAAGAGTCAATTTATATTTACATGAGTAGCTGTATCACCTTTTTGCTATTTTGCGTATTGCTTATTGTCCACCATACCATATAAAGACTAAAACCAAAGTCTGATGAATTATTATTTTACATCATGGCCTGCCTGCCTGCCTGCCTGCCTGCCTGCCTGCCTGCCTGCCTGCCTGCCTGCCTGCCTGCCTGCCTGCCTGCCTGCCTGCCCTGCCTGCCTGCCTCATGCCTGCCTCCCTCTGCCTGCCTGCCTGCCTGCCTGCCTGCCTGCCTGCCTGCCTGCCTGCCTGCCTGCCTGCCTGCCTGCCTGCCTGCCTGCCTGCCTGCCTGCCTGCCTGCCTGCCTGCCTGCCTGCCTGCCTGCTGCCTCCTGCCTGCCTGCCTGCCTGCCTGCCTGCCTGCCTGCCTGCCTGCCTGCCTGCCTGCCTGCCTGCCTGCCTCCTGCCTGCCTGCCTGCCTGCCTGCCTGCCTGCCTGCCTGCCTGCCTGCCTGCCTGCCTGCCTGCCTGCCTGCCTGCCTGCCTGCCTGCCTGCCTGCCTGCCTGCCTGCCTGCCTGCCTGCCCTGCCTGCCTGCCTGCCTGCCTGCCTGCCTGCCTGCCTGCCTGCCTGCCTGCCTGCCTGCCTGCCTGCCTGCCTGCCTGCCTGCCTGCCTGCCTGCCTGCCTGCCTGCCTGCCTGCCTGCCTGCCTGCCTGCCTGCCTGCCTGCCTGCCTGCCTGCCTGCCCGGCCTGCCTGCTGCCTGCCTGCCTGCCTGCCTGCCTGCCTGCCTGCCTGCGCCTGCCTGCCTGCTGCCTGCCTGCCTGCCTGCCTGCCTGCCTGCCTGCCTGCCTGCCTGCCTGCCTGCCTGCCTGCCTGCCTGCCTGCCTGCCTGCCTGCCTGCCTGCCTGCCCTGCCTGCCTGCCTGCCTGCCTGCCTGCCTGCCTGCCTGCCTGCCTGCCTGCCTGCCTGCCTGCCTGCCTGCCTGCCTGGCCTGCCTGCCTGCCTGCCTGCCTGCCTGCCTGCCTGCCTGCCTGCCTGCCTGCCTGCCTGCCTGCCTGCCTGCCTGCCTGCCTGCCTGCCTGCCTGCCTGCCTGCCTGCCTGCCTGCCTGCCTGCCTGCCTGCCTGCCTGCCTGCCTCCTGCCTGCCTGCCTGCCTGCCTGCCTGCCTGCCTGCCTGCCTGCCTGCCTGCCTGCCTGCCTGCCTGCCTGCCTGCCTGCCTGCCTGCCTGCCTGCCTGCCTGCCTGCCTGCCTGCCTGCCTGCCTGCCTGCCTGCCTGCCTGCCTGCCTGCCTGCCTGCCTGCCTGCCTGCCTGCCTGCCTGCCTGCCTGCCTGCCTGCCTGCCTACCTCCTGCCTGCCTGCCTGCCTGCCTGCCTGCCTGCCTGCCTGCCTGCCTGCCTGCCTGCCCTGCCTGCCTGCCTGCCTGCCTGCCTGCCTGCCTGCCTGCCTGCCTGCCTGCCTGCTGCCTGCCTGCCTGCCTGCCTGCCTGCCTGCCTGCCTGCCTGCCTGCCTGCCTGCCTGCCTGCCTGCCTGCCTGCCTGCCTGCCTGCCTGCCTGCCTGCCTGCCTGCCTGCCTGCCTGCCTGCCTGCCTGCCTGCCTGCCTGCCTGCCTGCCTGCCTGCCTGCCTGCCTGCCTGCCTGCCTGCCTGCCTGCCTGCCTGCCTGCCTGCCTGCCCTGCCTGCCTGCCTGCCTGCCTGCCTGCCTGCCTGCCTGCCTGCCTGCCTGCCTGCCTGCCTGCCTGCCTGCCTGCCTGCCTGCCTGCCTGCCTGCCTGCCTGCCCCTGCCTGCCTGCCTGCCTGCCTGCCTGCCTGCCTGCCTGCCTGCCTGCCCTGCCTGCCTGCTGCCTGCCCTGCCGCCTGCCTTCTGCCTGCCTGCCTGCCTGCCTGCCTGCCTGCCTGCCTGCCTGCCTGCCTGCCTGCCTGTCTGTCTATCTCACCTGCCACCTCCCAGGAACAGCAGGCCCAGTGCCATGTGGTGAGCCATGTGGAAGCCGTAGTTCATCTCTCCGCCGGTCCTCTTGTGGAAGAAGCGACAGAGCTGCAGGACCTTCAGGTTCCCGGTGCCGGACATCACCATGGACATCGCCAGCAGAATCATGGACAGACCGGTCTGCAGGTTGTAGTAACCCGTCTGCTGATTTATCCAGAACACAATATGACAGGCAGAGAAAGAGAAATATAAAATAATCATTATTTAAAGTAAAAGTATGTGAGTCAACACAGCACTTTCATGACTGTGATCATCTCATATTCTTGTGTATAATAGATTAAAGTTAAACTATGGTAATGTAAAAAAAAGGTTAAGAGCATAAAAGGTTAGAATAATAAATAAATAAAGTAAAGGACAGTCAGTAAAATGCTGTGCGGAACAGGTGGTTCTTGAGGCATTTCTTAAAAACTGAGAGTGATGCAGAGCTCCGTATGTTCTCTGGAAGCTGATTCTACAGACGTGGACCCAGGGAGGAGAAAGCACTCATAAGGTATACAAACTCATTCAAACACTTACAACTGCAGCTGTACCAGCAAAGGACATGATCTTCATGAAGTTTCGCGCAAACTCGTAAAGGCAGTCAAAGGCGTCGGAGTTGGCAGAGCCGGCAAAACGCAAACCCAACGCCATGCAGGCCCCGGCAGTGATGTAGTCCTGAGCTTGGCTGACAGAAACAAAGGATATAATAATATCAGTAATGGCGGTGAGAAACTGCAGACTTTTGCTACCACAACTACAGAAGCTAGTAATATAAAGGAATCATGGATTAGGCAAAACTCAGCTGAAAGAGGTATAATATTCATGGTTTAACCAAGAATTCATATGAAATTAAATGCCAGTGTTTGGCTAAAATACTCACGCCATTGTCTCCATGTTAATGTCTTCTGAAGGGTCAAAGGTCCCCCTCATGATCTGGAATGAAAGCAAATGTAGATAATTTCTATGGACAGTATCATGTGACTCATTATTTGACATTTTCTCATTTCTAAATGGGGCTTACAAATCCCCCATCTACTCTACACACACACACACACACACACACACACACACACACACACACACACACACACACACACACACACACACACACACACACACACACACACACACACACACACACACACACCACACACACACACACACACACACACACACACACACACACACACACACACACACACACACACACACACACACACACACACACACACACACACACACACACACACACACACACCACACACACACACACACACACACACAGTGGCATTAACCTATAATATCAATCTTTAAGAAGCACCAATAAATTGTAGAAGTCACAGTAACTTTTTGCCATGTCTGCAACATCACAGCTCAATAGTGTGTGTATGTTTGGTACGTGTGTATTTTCTCACCTGGGGTATGTTACTCTTGACCCACTCAGTATTTGGGAGGATTTCATCCCACATTATAATACACCGAGCAAGAGTCTGAGAGGAGAGGGAAGAAGGAGGAGGAGAAAGACAGGTATACAACATTATAGAAAGGTGGGAAGAATGATCACACACACACACACACACACACACACACACACACACACACACACACACACACACACACACACACACACACACACACACACACACACACACACACACACACACACACACACACACACACACACACACACACACACCACACACACCCAGTGGCACACTAACCCTCAGCAGCAGAAACTCTGGCTTGATGAAGTCCAACAGGAACCAGGTGTCTGGAGGTTTCAGCCAATCAGCGATGGACCTAGTGGACAGAAGCAGGAAGAGACGAGGAGGTGTTAATACCTTCCTTCAACACCCTCTCAGCCAATAGACAGACAACATCAGACAGGAACCTCATGACCAATAGCTGAGTATTGTTATTCTGTACAACTAGACTCACTGTTAGGATGTTCTTCTCACTTTGGCAATAAATGCATGGAAAGTACAAAGCATCACTTCTGACATATTTGTAAACCTAAGCGTCAGGGAATAAAGTATGGTGGATGATTCTGTAACCACCAAACAATCTGCTATTCGGCACTATTAGTGGGCACCATGGGATAATGTCTGGCAAGTTATTTATTTAAGTGCACAAAGAGGGAAATGGCATCAACTAGTCAACACATGGAAAGTACAAAGATACATTATGTCCTTTTTTTTGTCTTTTCTTACCTGTTGTTGGTCTTGAGGTAGATCATGGCGAGGGCCAGCGTTGCCCCTGGACACGTCACATCTACATTTATAGTGTCACCCTCCTGAAACAAACATTGATAACATAAGGAAAAAATAACAACATTTCAAAATGACAGTACCTCCAATCTTTGGCAGTTCTATACTTTAATCTCTTGGTACTAATAAACAGATATAAACAACAATGAAAAATGCTATAATGATAGTGTTATGAATAATTTCCTTGACTTAAATAAATAACAATAATAATAATAGATTACATTTGTATAGCGCCTTTCAAGGGACCCAAGGCCGCTTTACATGGTGAACAAACAAACAAACAAAAGGGGCAAATAATGAAGTAACAATCTAATAAATAGCAGTAGGAGTGGAAGCAGGGGGACTGTGATGGCTTAGGGGTCAAATATAAAACAGATTGGCAGCTTCATGAAGAATATTTAACAAAGCAGTTCTACATTGATGCATCTTATGTTATAACAGTAAGGTTATTTTATTAAAGAAAACTATTTGTCCATCTACCTTGATCTGGTAGCTGGGGGATTTGTGTCTCTCCCTGCTGGCCCCGGCCTGAGCCCTGCGGTGCCCCCCCACCATGTACTGATACAGCTGCTCCGGGACGTTCAGGTCTGTCATCCCGATCAGGTTACTGCCATGCTGCAAGGAGATAGAGCAGAGGCTGGTTGACGGATTATCTCCTTTAAACGGTCTGATATCACAAACCCACTTTAAAGATGTTTTGTGCAAATCTTTTTTTGACCAGGGGAGTGCGACTTACCCCCAGACACACCATGCCCAGAGCCAGTCCTGCAGCGAGGGAATAGGACTCTCTGTCAGTGCAGTACTCCATCTCTGGACCTGGAGGTCGACCTAAAGATACAGAGAAACCCAAAAGCTGAATTATATCTGTCCCACACACCAAACACATCAAAAGCACAAGGTAAAGATAGATTTACAATCAACAATTATTTTGAATATCAATTAATGCTAATGATTATTTTCTTAATTAATCAATTGATCTATTAAAGAAAAGTTTAAAATGCTTGATATAAATGATATCTCCAAAGCCAAAAGAGATGTATTCACCTGTTCTAATATTCAGTTTACTATCATAATATGAACAACAAAAAGATAAGTGTCTAGAAGCTGGAACCAGTTTGGGGAAAAAGCTACAACTTTTGAAAATATTTGCCAAACGACACATTGAATAATCAACTTATTGCAGCAGCATTGCTTTTGTTGATGCATTTTGACCGCATTATTCAGCAAGTCTAACCATATGTAAAATGAATATGTGGATCTTTAATTAAACAGTTTGAGTACCCTTATTTTAACGATATGATGCCATCAATTGTTGATTTCATTGTGATGTTGTGTCATCTGTCGGTTTTATAAACACACACACACTTTGATGATTTAAACAAATAAAGGATGAATTGGAGATGCTTAAAACACGAGAGCAGTCTCACACACACACACACACACCTAGACCTTCTCTCTTAAACCACAACCATACACTATTCGAATGAACTTCACGTCAGTTTCTATTCTCGCTGTAAAACACAAATTATATTACAAAACCACCAGCAAAAACGCTTCCCTGTCAGCACACACACACACACACACACACACACACACACACACACACACACACACACACACACACACACACACACACACACACACACACACACACACACACACACACACACACACACACACACACACACACACACACACACACACACACACACACACACACACACACACACACACACACACACACACACACACACACACACACACACACACACACACACACACACACACACACACCACACACACACACACACACACACACACACACACACACACACACACACACACACACACACACACACACACACACACACACACCTATCTCAGAGAGCAAGACTTCAGCGTTGTGTCTGTGTCCTGTTCCCTGGTACACCAGACCGATGCCGATTACAGCAGCAACCTGCAGAACAGAACGAGAGACATTTGATTGCTTATCATTTAATTTATTTTGTCTATACAAACAATTGCACATTCTTCATGATATCCGTGTCTGTCTGCACATCTTAATAAACACAGACATACTAATAGCCATGTAATTAATCATGTACTCACTCACTCATATATAATCACCGAAAAGTCCATTTCAAAATGACTATTGTTCCTCATTATTGCACAGATACACAGATTAATTCTGATGCACTCTCACCTGAACATTGTGTGGTACATCCAGCTCGGTGGAGGTTGGTGGGAGAAGAGCAGGGATGTGAATACTAAGGAGGCGAGTGATTGACATGTCCATGGTGCCCAGTTTGGCTGAAGACACACCCAGAAGGAGCCCAATACTGGTCATCTCGTGACCCTGAGGGAGCGACAGGGACACAACGTTTCAGAAGAGAATAGTCAGAGGATTTGGGACAGCAACGAGAAAGCTTAGTTATTAGAATATTCAACAGAAGACAGTGAGTGAACATCTTAAAAGCTAAGATCTAAGATCTTCTAAGAATAGTCACCTTTAGTAAAAAGTATACGCAAATGACGTCACAATACACAATGCAATGTGTGTCCCTAATTACTTAAATTGTATTTAGCTCTTACTGTGAGGAATACTGACAATGTTTGACAGTTTCCATTATGCCCCTGCAGATAGCCTGTGTGTGTGTGTGTTTAATAAACATAAAAGCATACCAGGTTCTCCTGACATGTTTTAACACCAACAGTCTGAAAAAGGTCACCAGTTTCCAGTGTGACGCACCTACTGGATCATTTTGCTTTGTTGTCAAATTGAAAGGAAAACCACTACCTTTATCTTTGTGAGCTCACTGAACTTCACTGGTGTTAATGACTGATATGGTCTTCATTCAACAGGTTCATTTGTTACGTGAACTATTCCTCACTGCTATGTAGTGGTCAATTTGGTGAGAGTTTTTACAATTCATATTGTTGTAAAAGGATTGTCAAAGGTCAATTACTCTATTAAACAAACAGATTTGACTAGTTTAATGTCTGATTAAGAGATTAAGGTTATAAAGTCACAAATTAAAATGTTATCAATTACTGTTTTCACTATATTCTAAAAAGACACATTTTAAGCGGAACTCTTTGATGATTTAAACAAATAAAGGATGAATTGGAGATGCTTAAAACACGAGAGCAGTCTCACACACACACACACACACACACACCTAGACTTTCTCTCTTAAACCACAACCATACACTATTCGAATGAACTGATCCAAAGTACGTCAGTTTCTATTCTCGCTGTAAAACACAAATTATGTTGATACAAGCAAAAATGCTTCCCTGTCAGCACAATGTTCAAGTTTAATTCACACACACACACACACACACACACACACACACACACACACACACACACACACACACACACACACACACACACACACACACACACACACACACACACACACACACACACACACACACACACACACACACACACACACACACACACACACACACACACACACACACACACACACACACACACACACACACACACACACACACACACACACACACACACACACACACACACACACACACACACACACACACACACACACAAATGATTACCTATATAAAGCAAGCTGAGCCTTATTTGGCAAAAAGGAAATGGAGTCTGGGATTAATAATGTATTTCATTAAGCCCCTGTCACACTGTCCCGAAATTGACAATTCACACAAATATGGAATTGTGAATGTCGCACGAAGATGGCCCCAAACTTGGTCAACAGCCAAAGCAACAGCCGAAGCAAGTACGATGCTAACATTTAAACATACACTTTATTCTTTACTTTCTCCATCTTTATATGTAGATTAGAAGATATTACTTATCTCATTCATGTTGTTTCCATAGCAACAACAACTTCCTGTCAACAGCGTAAACTCGCCTTCAAAATAAAAGCATCTAAATAAAACAGGAAGTTAACCTAAATTACATTTAAGACATACAAATGTCTCCACCGGCGGTCATACGATGGCTTAAGATGCCCTCACGAATGGCCCGATGTTGCTACGATCAGAGTCGAATTTGAACATTTCCTTTATCTGGTGTGACAGGGGCTTTACAGGATGTGGATTTCTCGGGTATTTCAAAATCTGGATGAGAACAGCATTTCATTCAAATGATAGAGAAATGACTAATAAACAAAGCTCTTTGATGTTAATGAAGTGCAGATGTACATCCTGAATCAATATGGGAACTGAAAATGTGTGTGGATCTGGTACAATAGTTAGCTGCCTGTGATCTTTAACCACATCTCTGACTTACTAATTGTGCAAAAATAAGAATTGGCTTGCAGCTTCCTGTTGTTCTTCTTACATGAACGTGGGAAGGACTTTTCTCATTTCAAAGTGTTTAGAGGGCAGAGTTTCACTTTGACTTGCTTTCTGCTCTGATGCAAGTTTAGGTCTCTCATTTACAGTCAGTTACACAAACATGATACTGTAGGTAAGTGTGTGTGTGTGTGTGTGTGTGTGTGTGTGTGTGTGTGTGTGTGTGTGTGTGTGTGTGTGTGTGTGTGTGTGTGTGTGTGTGTGTGTGTGTGTGTGTGTGTGTGTGCTAATTAAAGTAGATGGGTAGCTTTGTATAAACTGTATTTAAGTTCATATTTATTTTCCTTTCTTGTAACTTTCTTTGTGTCATGGTGTGTTTAATGTCCTTTTATCACAGTGAGAAAACAGTCATTAAGTTCAATGTTGACTGTAAACTGAGCATTAGGGTAGAAAGTACTCATTAAAACAAAAATATGACTGCTCATTTATGTTTAAAGGTCTTAGCTGTGAAATTCAAGGGGTTACTTAAATTACAACCTAGTTCCCGCACATGTACGCCTTTGTGTGCGCGTGTGTGTACCTTGGTGAGGTAGTCATGTATGTTGAGCGTTGCCAGCTTGGTGAGGTGTCCGTTGAGGCCCAGGGCCATGAGGAAGCCTGCGTACTCATTGGCCAGCTCAGGGATCTTTGGCTTGTTGTAGGCAATCCAGGCCGAGTCCACCTTAACAAACAGAAAGAAAGTCACATTTATTTGTACAACAATAAGAAAAGGTTTGTTTACTGCAGAACAGTAGAACGTTCACAATGAACACGTGAACATTTTGTAATCAGTCATTTCAAAATGTAAGATGTGAACATTTTGTTCACGGCACAAATGCCCTAAGTATATTTCATTCCAATATATTTGTCTTGACAATAGATGGAAAAATCTGTATCATTAGGCGCATTCACACTGCGGTACTTTTCCCACAAAGGTTCATGTGAACTTAGTTCATGTGAACTCTTTTATCGCGTTCACACCAAAAAGAGCCGGTACTAAAATTAGTTCATGTGAACCTTTTTACCCCCACGAAAGTCCCTGCTAGACAGCAGGGACTTTCGTACGGCTCTCTTGTGAGAAAAGAGCTATATTTCTGATTGGCTGGGCGGATTGCAAACCACGCCCCGTAAAACTCCCAAAAAGTTTTGTGAAGCCGCCATTTTATTATCCTCGCATTAGCATTATTAGCATTAGCATTAGCCCAGCGCAGAAACGCAGAGAGACTAACTTATGGCAACACAAAATAAAACATGGGAGCGGTGGAGATGAGGAGGTGTCAGCATTCTGGCGATTTACTCGGAAGGCTTCAGTAGAAGCTGCTGGGAGTCCCAGCAGCTTCTACTGAAGCCAGTCCCCAACTCCGGGACTTCCGGCCGGGGACTTTGGGCGGCAGTATACGCCGTGAAGTGGTTTGCGGCCTGCCAGTAAACCCAAAGCAGAAGAAGAACAAGTGACGTCAGCGGCTTCATTTGCCTAATCCACCCCCAGGGACTTTTTCCAGTGTGAACGCGATCTGTACTTAGTTCATGCGAACTAAAGAGTTCACATGAACTAAGTTCACATGAACCTTTGTGGGAAAAGTACCGCAGTGTGAATGCGCCTATGGTGACTAGGGATGCTCAGGTCGACAATTTTGGGGCCGATCGCCGGAATAAGTACCGGCCGATACCGATCGAGTGGGTGGGGTCTATGGGGATCTTCCATTTAAATTGATGTTTAAAACTCAGTTAATGGGGCTCATTCACTGGAGCTTCCACAAACAACAACCAACATCATTATTACATTCAAATTAAGTGCATTATTCAAGTTTACATTAACTTTGGATAATAACACAGGAGAAAT